GTTTTCCAGTGGTTATGAATAGGCTACAAACTAACCTGTAACATGTATGAGATTAAAATTTATTGTCAGTAAGTGCTGCAGCAATGGATCAAGATCTCAGACAAAAATAACTTCTAGCCTTGGAATAGGAGATAATGACATGGAGACAGGTGAACAGGGAAATTAAGTGGCAGTAAAGAAGCTGTAAAATAGTGAGATCTCGAATGAAAGTTTTTAGCTTTCTGCACAAAACCTAGAAAGAGTTGTGAGAATTAATCAAATATATTTGAGAATAGTGATTAGAATGTGAAAAATATACTATTACTTTGCATCAATAAGAACTGAAGAGAAAATGGGGAAATGAACCACCTTTAAATATATGGTAGCAAATATTTCAGCGAAAGCGCTGATTAGACCTTATATGAGGAAAAAAAAAAAAAGTAAAGAAAAAAAACTGTTGTTGTTGATAAATCATCAGTGCTATTAAGGAATTCTATTTTTAAGAAACTGATTTTGATTGAGGCATTGATTGGGGATCTGTTACGGCAAATTTTCTCTCAGTTCAAATGAATGTACTTATTATTTGAGAAATTAGAGAAATGTGAATCCATTCTTGAATGATAATTTGGATTATTATATATATTAGATATAAGTAGGATTTCAGTTACTATGGTACCTAGAATAATTAAATTATTATGACATCTTGCTTTGTATTTTAGTGAATCGGTGATTTTTTCTACTACCTGTTATACAAGTATGGCAGGAGGAAATAGTGTCAATGATTAAATTTATCCTTTGGATTTGAAAAAGAATGTTTCCTAAAAACACAAGCTGAACCCAGAATCTGTTTTGCCCACTTTGGACATTAAAATAAAATGTAAAATAGAATAAGGTAGTTTTTGCAAGGTACTTGTTAGTGATTTGCGTTATAACTTTACTTCTGGCATATATATGAGTTGCAATGAGCAGCTACACCCATTCACAGAGTGGTTATTATTAGAAGAAGAATTAAAAAAAAAAAAAAAAA